TCTTGGTGGCCTCCTTCACTCGTCTCTTTCTTGTACAGTCACTCAGTTTTTGAGGACGACCTGCTCCAGACAGGTTTACACATGTGCTTTATTTCCTCCATTTCCTGATGATGAATTTTATTCTATTCTAATGAGTATTCAGGAACTTTTCTTATCCTGCTTTACAATAAGCTTTTTGCTTGTTTGCTTGGTGTATGCTTTTGTCTTCATGGAATAGTTCTATCCAGGAGTACTGATTCACCAGTGACTAGACCTTCCAGATACAGGAGTCTTTATACAATGATCACTGAGACACATTCAGTCACATTCAGCACTCAGATGATCTTCATTTTACTAATTGAGACTTCTAGCACCAGTTGGCTACACCTGTGTTGATTTATTCACTTGGGTGAATACATAACTTTGTAAAAACTGTTTTCACTTTGACATGAAAGAGTCTTTTCTTTGTAAAGTGTTGTCAAAAAGGCGAACTTAAATTGACCATGATTTCATGTTGACAAGCAACAAACGGAGAAAACTCTACAAGGCAGTAAATACGTTTTATAGGCACGGTGATATGTGCATGATTGTTATGTTGGGTAAACATTATCCCCGTTACCGTCGCTGCTGCTGATTGTGTTCGGATCTACTAGCAGGCGTGAGACACGACTCTCACGCCTGGTGGCATCTCTGAGCCCAGAGCGCTGGATGACATCAGGGCTGATTCCCTCTGGATCAGCTGACAGAGGAATCATGGCAACCAGCAGAGGCTCTGAGGAAGGTGGTCGTCACCTTTTTCTATTCACTGTTCGTCCTTCCGTTGACGCCAACCGAGAATAAAGAGAGCAGGAAGGGACAAAGTGTGGATTTGTCAGACAAGGGAGTAATTAGTTACCAAGATGGACTGACTTCTGTTTGTCTGAGGAAAACTGCACAACACAAACATGCACTCTGGTAAAAGAAGTTAAAAAGAACGTCTGGCAGCAAAAAATGCCAAAAGTGAAAGTACATGACTACACGTAATTCAACAGTTTTCTTTGTAATTTCACAGCCAAATTCAGGTAGAATGACAAATTTCCACCATTAAGAAACTGTCACTTAAATATAAAACTATCGATGAAGTACAACTAATTGAAAAGTGGGTTTAAAAGCAATGTTTCATTTTTTAAAAGTCACCAAAATTACATCATTTGTCAGAGCAAGAAGTTGCAAAAATAGAAAAAAACTGTCAGATTTTTTTATCTTCTTGATAGTCAGTTCCATACTTTTACTGTACTTTTACAGCAGATTTGGTATTTTAAAAAAGGCAATTTTCCTCCATTTTACACATATATTCTGTCAATATCAAAAATCTGTATTTATTTCCAGTAAATGTCTGCAGGAATAAACTCTATTCTACAGCTGAGGAAACTCCTTGGTGCTTGTTTCCGACCCTCCTCCGGCTCCTTTCTCTCTCATTCGATGAGCTTCTCGTCTCATTGCTGGATCTTAAACTCAGAGGAGCTCTAAGCAAAACACACATCATCTTTAGACCACAGAATGTTTAAAACGGGTCTCAAGGGACCTTCAGAGTTGATGGATCAATGAGATGGAGTGAAGCACAACGTGATAAATAGTTGTGGAGCGTCGGCACATCTGCAGGCCTTTAACTGAATGTACGGCAGCAAAATATTCCACTAACGCTCAAACACATGTGATTAGCAGCAGAGTGTTTGTAAGGCTGGTAATTAGACCCTGTTGTGAACAATGTTCCTGTAAATTTACCATAAAGCACAGCAGCTGTGGTCGCCAGCATGTTGACTCTATTTTAACAGCAATAATAATGTTTTTTACAAATTGCTGTATAACTGTTTTTTGTCATTTTGTGTTGCTTTGTCTCTCGTTTGTGTTGTTTCGTGTCTCTTTGTGAAGATTTGTCTCCTGTCTTTTGGTGTTTTATTCTCCTTCTGTGTCCCGTCAGTGTCTTTTGTCTCATTTTGTGTCCTTTCCTTTATGTATTGTGTCTCGTTTGTGCCATTTGTATCTTGTTTGTGTCATTTTTTTGTTTTCTTAATGCTGTTTTATGTCTTGTTTGTGTCTTTTTCTGCTTTATTTGTGTCATTTTGTGTCTCATTCATGCTGTATCGTGTCTTGTTTGTGTTGTCTTGTGTTGTTTTTATTGCTTTTGGTCAAAATTTTCTTTGTGTTCTTTGTGTCTTTCTGTGTCATTTTGTATGTCATTTACACTGTTTTGTGTCTCCTTTTTGTTGTATTGTGTGTCGTTTTGTCTTGTTTGTGTAATTTTTTTGTGTAATTTGTGCCGTTTTGTAATTTTTTTTTGTCTTATCAGTGTCGTTTTGTGTCTCATCTGTGTCTTTTTGTCTCATTTCGTGTCTTGTTTTTGTTGTGTTGTGTCTTTGTTAGTGTTGTTTTTTGTCCCGTTTTTATTTTGTGTCTTTTTTGGATCCTTTTGTGTCTCGGTTATGCCGTTTTGTGTTTTTTTGCATCACACTGTATCTTGTTTGTGTTGTGTATGTTTTACTTGTCTTTTGCGTCTCATTTATGAAGTTTTGTTCATCTTTCTTTCAGTTTTGTCTCCTTTCTGTCACTTCATGTCTCTAACTTTTCTTTTGTGTCTCGTTTGTGTCACTTTGTGTCTCGTTTGTGCCGTTTCGTGTCTTTCTCATGTTGTTTATGTCTCATTTGTCTTTTGTGTGTCATTTGTACTGCTTAGTTTGTGTTAATTTTGGACAGTTTTGTTTCCTTTCGGTTGTTTTGTGTCTCGTTTTTGTCATGTTGTGCTTTTTTTTTTTTCTGTCTCATTTGTGTTGCGTTGTGCTGAATTTTTTGTTCAGTTCAAGCTGTTGCTGATGTGCTGTTTACAGTCGTTCTTGTTTCAAAAGATTTAGAGTTTAGAACACTGGGGTTAGAATTTGTCTATTTTTTCAGTAATATATTACAGTGTGGGATCGATGAGTCCTACTAAGGTTTTGCGATGACTCTTGACAGTGTTTACTTCTCCCGATCGATTCTTGTTTCTGATTTTTGCCGGCTCTGGAAACCAGCAGCAGTGTGTCTCCTCTCTCACCATGAGGCTGCTTTCATGTGCATCATTCTGAATGTCTGATAGAAATGAACCCAGTGGTTCCTTTGAGGATTTGAAAATGCCTGCAAATATGGTGCGAGAGTCCTCTTTGTTTGATTCTGGATCCAATCTGGACATAGTGTGCAAGTATTCATTTATTTGCGGATGCTGAATATCCTCAGATTATATATTGTTAGAGCATTAGAGCCATAGATATATATAATAAAGGCTAGATGTCTCGTCTGCGCTGCTGGCCAATGGAATCACACGGCCACTCTGGCGGCCATCTTGGTACGGTCCACTCGCTCACCCATAACATTATGCTGTAGTGGTGCATGTACTTTTTAAATAACCATAACTTGCTCAATTTTCTACCGATTTTCAAACGCTTTGGTTTGTTATAAACGTCAGAGGTGTAGTTATAACACAGCACTTATGGATAATTATGTTACACTCTCATGGCCAGCAACAATTTGTATTTTAATTATTTTGTATTTTATTTGTATTTTTGTAATTTGAATTGTAGCCACGTTAATAACGTTCGTAAGAAACCAATCTGTCAAGATTTCAGCGAGATAAGAGTATCTACGTTTGTGCAGATCACTCACCTTCCTTCACGTACCACAGGTTCCGCCACAGAGCTTCCCCGAATCAAGATGGCCGAAGGATGATCCTGTTTGAAACGCCACCTTAAGACATCTAGCCTTTATTATACATATCTATGATTAGAGTTAACATTTAGACCATTCTGATGTAGAATTCTCTATTAAAATTCATGATCATTTTACAACTAGTGCGTACAATGTCAGCTACTTTGTTGAATATTTAAAAAATTTTAATAACAAATTATTTATTTAATTTTCAAAAAAAAAATCTGTGATAGCAGCTTCTTAAATGTAAAGTATTTTCTGTTTTGTTTTAACAAGAAGAACTCGAATGTCATCCTGGACTTTGGCAAACATTGATCAACATTTCTTTTTTTTCTACCATTTTCTGACATTGAATTGTTAGTTTGTTAGAGAATGTGGTTGGTGCAAAAGATTTATTTGGTGGATTTTTAGGAGAGACGTGTAAAATAAAGTGATTTTAATTAAATATATGGTTACATAGTGGTCATGTTTTCTTACAGACCAGTGTTGGTCAGTACTTTAAAGACTGTCGGAGAGTTAAAATATGACTATTCTTTCTGTTTTACAGTTTGTGGCTCTGATAAATTGTGTAATTTTGCTATTTTTGATTTTATTTTTTTTTTTAAATAACCTTTTAAATCCACAAGTTCTGATGTTCAGACAGTTAATCGACAACGAGAATAGACATTAGTCGAAGCCTCACTGACCGAGAGAATGATAAAAAAAAAAAGTGTAGTACTAAGACTATTGATATGAGCATATGTGGCCCAAATTCAGGCGCTTTATATTATATAAGTTTTCACCATGAAAATAATCCCTTCCTGAAGAAAATGTAATTCTATGCTTTAGCTTCGTCTAAAATGTTCAGCTCTATTAAGTTCCTGTCTCTCACTGCAGCTTAAGCACACCAGCTCACCTACAACTCTGCTCAAACACTGTAAAATTATTCTACAATATACAAGTTGTGTTTTGTAATACAGCCATATATGTTTGAACCAGAATGTCATTGTACGTTGCAGCTTCAAGGTGTGAATGCTCAGCCATGGTGTTAACTGCTTATTTCAGTCATGATGTGTCCTCTAGCATATTAGAAACACCACATGGGGAAGGTAAAAGCCACTCACTGGAGGGAAAAGCCAAATATAAAAGAGTTGGAAGTGAAACCAGCTGATTATTTTTTGCTGTTTGCAGTGATTTTGATCGCTCTCTCTTCTCTCCTCACAGACAGCAACTTTGTTCTGGGAAACGCCCAGGTCCAGTCACTCTACCCCATCGTCTACTGCTCCGACGGGTTCTGTGAGCTCACCGGTTACGCTCGGGCCGAACTCATGCAGAAGAGCTGCGCGTGTCACTTCCTGTATGGCCCGGAGACGAGCGACCGGTCGACGGCTCAGATCCAAGGAGCTCTGGACGACCGGAGGGAGTTCAAGACCGAGCTGGTCTTCTACAAGAAGGAAGGTCAGGAGGAACATTTGTGTCTGTCTGTTTGTGGATTTACTGTAACTTATATTTACTGTAAAAAGTGTTGCAGAAGAAAACAAATATTTTAACATCAGCGTAGTCCAGCATAGAAATGAGCCCCTTCAGACATGAGATACGTAGCATTGGCAGCACAACTCCGACCACAGCTCTTATGCTTATCGCAAATAGTCCCTCCACAAGTTGTGCTGTGTGTAGCAGCAGATGAAAACAAGTGATGTTGCTTCGATTTGTGCTGATCACTTAAAAAATACCAACGACAGCCTCGATCCATGACATCGGCTGGACACAACGCTACTCTAAAATATAGTTAATCATCAAATTAAAATAACTTTAGTTGCCTAATTGATTGACACGACAGTCAGTCACATTAAGTCTTGTGTATGTGACATGACTGTTGTCGGCCGATTCCCAGAATGCTCTTAAGAATACACTTAAGTGCACCAGTCTCAGTGACAACATTTTTTAAAAGATCTGGACAAGACCAAAGGCAGGCCTGTTGGGTTGTAAAGCTCTATAAAGAATACAATATTTTCTGGCTAACACTGATGGTCTTGATCATGTATTTTTTCCCGGCCGTTATGTGCAAAGTTATATTTTTCAAGCGTGTCCCACCAAACAATTCCATGAAAACATGTAAAAAACAATGTCAGAGTTGGGCTCAAAGCCCAGTCTTTCCTACTGGAGACAAATCTTAATTTATTCTTAATTCATTCTATCAAAATTAATTTCTTCATGCAGCTGGAGTCTTCGCAGTCTTTAGCAAACATTACTTAATCAGGTGTAAATAAATCATTTGTTGTGGGCTATTTTCAGACATGGATGAATACACATTTGTTGCACTGGTGTGGAATTACTAAAACAAACTACAGTATTGGTGTTTGTGATGATGAAGGAGCAGTGAGCCAACACAACACTGATGTCTGTTAAATTGTTTCAGACAGCTGTAGAACTTTGTGGCTCAAAGGATTATGATTGGCTACTCAGCAAAATCCTTGTTGGGTAGAACTATTCATTGCTTCATTGAACTTGGTGACAATAGAAAAAATATTGGAAAGTGCAGCACCAGCCTTATCCTTTAAAGGTCCCACACGACAGAAATCTATATTTATTGTTTTTGTGGTTGTTACAAACTTGAAGGTGCAAAAGTGAGCGCAAGAGTCCTCATGCACTCCCAGTATCTGAGGAACTGAACACCCAGTGGATTAATTTTATTTCAATGTCACCACAACTACAGGAAAATCCATAGTGTTAGCACATTGTACAGCTAATGTGGCTAATATTGCCATTAGCTTTGATCGTATGCCCATAGGTCAGGCTAAGGGACATTCAGAGATGGTGGAAACTTTAATTTAGGCTAATATACACGGCCATGCTGGGTCGCTGTGTTTTCATGCCGTCTGTTGTACTTCAGTGCAACATAAACTCAGCTTCTCTCCTGCTCTCTGTGCTCACATTTACTGTATTAATACAGCTAAATTACCAATAAAGCTGCTCTCATTTACATATTTTTCTCTTCCTGTTGTCAGATGGCAGAGTATGGAATAGTAACTGAAACACAGACCATTAAGATGGCATATTAACCAAAAGTCACTTCAACGCCATTTTCAAGCTGACATGATTATGATAACTGTGACGTCATCCGACAACCTCCGATATATTTCGATGTCAAATGATCTCTTCGAGAGAAAGTTAGAGGACAGAAAATTCCACTTTCCCATTGTCAGCTACTGTGAAGTCATCTGTTATCACAATCATAATAGCAATGCCCTCCTGAAGGTGACGGAGGCAGCAGCAGCTCATTGGTTTTAGGAGTGAACCTGCCTAAAGTTTGGAACAATCCTAAAACCAGGAGTTACACAGTCATGCTGAAATTAAACTCCAAATTTAAAGACACACTGTGGGGTCATGTGAGACTTTGGTTTACAGAAGAAGAGCCCCAGTGTGCGATCTGTAAATAAGCGTAGCTAACAAACACAGTAAGTCACCTTCTGCTAACTGCTACATAAATGCATGAAATCAGGTTAAAACCAGCTGTTTTGGTTTTCTGTTACTCACCTGTAATCTCTGAATCGTGACGTAGCGGCTGTGTTTGGTTCACTGCCTACTTTGTGCTGCAGCTCAGACACTAACGGCCAACAGGGATCACACATGTGAATAATGCATTTAAGCAGGCAGCGGGATTGAATCAATAAAAACATCAGCCACACTGAAGCTGGATTTGTCCCTGTTTGACTGGAACATGTTGGTACACAATAGGCAGTAGAAACAGCATGTTCTGTCTTCTGCCTCTTCATGCATACCTATAAGGGAGGAACCAGGGTCTGCAGAAGTAACATAGCTGATCATTTCTGAGGGATGATATATATGTGGAAAGAACTGCTTGTTCTACTCTAAATGCATTGTTGTGAGATTTTTTTTTAAATGTAGTTTATTTATTTAGATAAACCTTTTAGGTTGCAGACATTGTTTTCATGAGTTGACATGATAATGTTGGTAATTACACCAACCTGATACCATGTGAAGTTTAAACTCAAACTTCTGCATTATTGTTTTTATTATTCATTTGTTGAAAATTGCCATCATTGCACAGTTACAGAAATTGGGGGTAAAAAAATGAAAAAAATGTGTGATTTTGTATTTTCCAACATTCCTTCCCCTAATCATCATCTTCAACATGTACTTCAGTGGGAAAATAACCAAATCTTAGCTTAAAATCTTGATACTTAATCAAAATCATTTTACTTTACATGTTGTATCAAAACATTCACCAACAAACTGCAAAAACAAAAAGAATCATCGCAAACTTTTGTTTCCTATAATCCTTGATCTACTCATATAAGTTGTTCTATTGGAAAACTTAACCAAGTCTGTGCTTAGAATCATGACACGTCATCAAAATCACTGTAGATGTGTTAGATGTCGTGGTTCAAAATGTACCTAAAATAAGCCATTTACACCAGATGGTGTAAAATATATAAATATATATATATAAATCTGTAGGGCTGCAAGGTGGCGCAGTTGGTAGCACTGTTGCCTCGCAGCAAGAAGGTTGCCGGTTCGCGTCCCGGTGGGGGCACCGGAATCTTTCTGCG